TTATTCACAAATTTACTCAAGACAAGAAAATTTTTGACTTAATGCTTGGTGATCAAAAATGTATTTTTGATAAAAGAGGAATTGGATATAAGCCATGTTTGAAACAAAAGTCTCTCAAAAATTTATTTGTCAAAGCTTCAAGCTCTCACTCTTCAAACATTACATGTAATTTTTGTAATGAAAATGGACATGCATCTTTTAATTGTTCAATTAAAAAGAGGTTTCATTTTGAGAACAAATACAAGTGGATTCCAAAGTCCACAAACACTAACAATCAAGTACCCAAGGTTGTATGGGTACCAAAGACAAAAAATTAAATTATTTTTGTAGGTACCAAAGAAGCTAAAAGAATAAATGAACATTGGAAGCCAAAGGAGGGTCTGGACGAGCATACCGGACTTCCCGTAACCTCGTCCGGTTTGACAGAAACTTTTCTGTCTTACCGGACGTCCGACAAAATTTATCGGACGTCCGGTACAACGCTTTTCAGCTTTTTTCCTTCAAATGCACTTGATAATTTTTTTAATCAAAACAAGGAAGAATCCTCAGAAAACGGTATGATCGGATCTCTATTTTACTTAATGATAATTTTTTTAATCAAAACAAGGAAGAATCCTCCAATGACCAAGGTACTTCCATAGACATAACAAAATATCGAGGTATGATCGGATCTCTATTTTACTTAATCGCAAGTAAACTCGATATTATATTTAGTGTGTGATTATGTACTACATTTTATTCCAATACTCACGAATCACATTTTAATGCCATAAAAGGAATTTGAGATATCTTATTGACACTAATATTTTACATCTATGATATTCTATTGTATTCAAATTTGAAGAATAAATTGATCAATATTCTATTGGTCAAAGTGTAATCATAAGTCGAAAATGAGTTTTCGACTTATATTGACTTAATAGTGAGATGAAATATATGATCGATAATTGAGATTGACACATATCCATATCTTGTAATGATCGGATTATATTCACGAAATGATTATAGTTGCACGGTAAACGAACAAATTTTGTTTTGTCATACCAAGTGACATTTTGTGTCAAATGTATTGCACTATTGCTCTAACAC